ACCCCCCAGGGGCACACTCTTGTGTGACGGGCATGGCGCACCCGGGGCCCCGAGCTGGACCTGAGCATTTTTCTATTTCTCTCTTGCGACGGTCCTGTTTTGAGTTTCCGACCTTTTATCAAATGTTTATATGGACCTAGTGGACGAATTTTATTTCATTCAAAAACACTGTTTATCAGTTACAGATTATATATCTTCTAATTTTTGTTTGTTTTCTACTGGCTTTGTCGGGTTTCCTGATTTATGTTTCACCTATTTATTTTAAATAACCAATCTTTCCCTAAAGCATGCAGACTAACAACGTTAGCTTTTGCTGACCAGCACGTTTGCCGTGTGCTGCGTCTCGTAAGGTGGAAAGGGGGAGCCTGGAGCTACCTGTCTGCTTTCTCATACGAGTGTGGCGCCCAAGGGGGCATTTTCCTCTCGGAGTTGGTAGACTGCGTGCTCTTTGGCCCCTGCTTCATTTTAGACGAGTGGAAGGAGGTTATGTCCCCCTCTCTTTCAATCGGCTGGTAGGGACAATTTAGCTCCTTGCTCAGGACTAGTACTGCATCAGGGGAGTGCCCCTGAGCTCTGATAGCTTTGGCGGATCCACGCTCCTTTGGTGTAGTGCTATATCTGGAGCTACTCTGAGCAGAATGCTGAGGCTGATGTATTCAGAGCCAGTGTTTCTGTTCCCCTTGTTGGGCTCGGTGGTGGGCATGAGAGTGTCCAGATGAACATCTTCATTTGATATGACTACTCCTACTGAATCACCCTGTTTCGGAAAAACTTCACCTAGATTTGACTTATCTACATGCTCTAATTACGACCTTACGAAAGCTAAATATCTGATACTCAGCTCAACAGTAAAGAAACTTTCTTCTTTATCACCATTTCTCGTACAAAAGTCTCTAGAATCTCAGATAGGTAATCCAAAAAATGTTCGTGCTATGTCCTCTGGCGACTTGTTAGTGGAAACTAGTTCTGAAAAGCAGACTACCCTACTTTTAAAATCAAATAAACTTGGCAATGTTCCTATTACTGTTGCACCCCATAGGACATTAAACATATCGAAAGGCGTTATAACAGAAAAAAACACTACAATTTCTTCCAACCTCTGAAATAATTGAAGGCTCCTCTAGTCAAGGCGTAATTGATGTGCGACACATAACAATAAGAAAGGGCGATGAAATAGTTCCTACACAACACTTGATTCTAACTTTCAACACAGCAAATTTACGTACGGACATTAAAGCTGGCTATAGAAATTGTAAAATCCGTTCATACATACCAAATCCACTTCGCTGTTTTAAATGCCAGAAGTTTGGCCACGCCACCAACAACTGCCGAGGCAAAGAAACCTGCTCTCGCAGCGGTCAGACAGGACATAACTTCAAATCCTGCACGTTACCAGAACAATGCATAAATTGCCATGAACCCCACTCCGCTAATTCTCGAAAGTGTCGAAAATGGAAGCAAGAGAAACAAATTATAAGCATTAAAGTTACGCAAAATCTATCCTAAACTCACAGCCACGACCTAATATTTCGTATGCTGCAGCTGTCACCAATTCAAAGAAAACTAAATCCATCGGCATACAATGTAACGTAATCGAAGCAGAAGTACAAACATCTCAACAAACAACCTCTGCCTCAAAAACCATACCGTCTCATCAAATACACAAATCTATAAAATCTGCTTCCCCTCAATCAACATCTTCACAAAACAATACTGAAAAAAAATCAAAATTTGAAACTAACTCCACAACTAGTAAATGTTTTGCACAAAAAATTAACCCAGACGCCACAATTAAGCAAACCCAAATTTGTTTCAAAAAGTAAACAAAATCGTTTCAATAAAAATAGGAACAAATTATCCAACAGTAAGCTAGAACAATCTGAAGATATGAGCACTGATAACGCAACTGATTCGGACATGCAAATAGAGAAGGGAATGGAGACTCCAATTAACCTTATACCTAAAACCAACAAGTTTAAATTGGCAAAATAAATAATGGCAAAACTTTTAAATTGGAATTGCTGAGGCTTCTACACAAGTTTAATAGACATTAAAAGCCTAATTGACAAACAAAATCCCATATGCTTTTGTCTCCAAGAAACATTCCTCAAACCATCTCATAAGGGAAATATACATAGGTATACTAATTCAAGAAAGGATTTTATACAAGGTAACAAAGCATGCGGCGGTCTTTCACTTTTAACATTTAAAAGCTATCCGTTTTCTGCTGTTTCATTAGTAACTCCTCTACAAGCTGTTGCGGTTCAAATTTTCATTCAATCACTTATCACGGTATGCTGTATTTATTTACCACCAAATCAGGTAATACCACAATCTGACCTAGACAATCTAATTACTCAACTACCGTCACCATTCATCATCATGGGAGATTTTAATGGGCATAACCCATTGTGGGGTAGCGCCAATTCAAATTCTCGTGGTAACCAGATAGAGAAACTCATCAATGATCATCAATTATGTCTACTGAATAAAAATGAAAAAACTCATTTTCATTTCCCTTCTAGAACTTTTCATTCTATTGATCTGGTTATTTGTTCTCCTCAAATATACCCGTTTTTAGAGCTTTTTGTTGACAACTACCTTTACCACAGTGACCACTTTCCTATCATTATAAAAATTTCTGTACCGTCTCAAAATAATATCTATCGATTACCTAGACTCTGCATCGCGGCAGCAGATTGGGTAATGTTTTGTAAATCTCTTACATTCAATGAACATACAATAGAAACAGGAACTATTGATGAAGCCACAACTGAAATAACTAATGCCCTCATAACAGCAGCTGAACAGTCAATGCCTTACACTTCTCCTAACTGCCCTAAATATACAAAACCCTGGTGGAACAAGGAATGTAGCCGAACTCACAAATTTCAAAAACAGGCTTGGAGAAAATTCCGTAAATATCCCACGCAAGAAAACTTGATTGCATTCAAACGGGCCCAAGCAATAGCAAGAAAAACTCGAAGAAAAAGCCAAAAGAAATCTTGGATTGAATACGTCAGTGGAATAAACAGTAATACTACATCTAAAGAAGTTTGGAAAAAGATTAAAACAATATCTGACCATTATGCAACTTCACCTGTTACTCATCTTGAAATAAATAACCGCAAAATAACTGATAAAAAAGAAATAGTTAACACTCTTGCTGAAAGTTTTTCTCAGAATTCCAGCTACACAAATTATCCAACCTCCTTTCAAAGATAAAAAGCAATAACTGAAAAGACAATACTTAAATGTCCATCCGAACCAATCAATGATTATAATTCAAAAATTACTTTAATAGAACTAAAATCGGCTATTAAACGTTGTAAACCCACTTCTCCTGGCCCTGATAATATACACAGTAGCATGTTTAAGCACCTTTCAGATACACATCTACAAATAATTTTAAATTTTTTCAATAGAATTTGGATCGAGAGAAAATTTCCCTCCAGCTGGCGCAAATCATACGTAATAGCTGTCCCCAAACCAGGAAAAGACCACAAAAATCCTAATAACTATCGGCCCATAGCTCTTACTAGCTGTTTATGCAAACTATTGGAACGGATTTTAAATGATAGACTTACCTATTTGCTAGAATCTCGAAATATTTTATCTTGCAAACAGACTGGTTTTAGAAAATGCAGTTCTACTACTGATAATGCCATACTTTTAGATACTGAGATAAGAGAAGCGTTCTTGAAAAGACAGCATTGGGTAGCAGTATTTTTCGATATCGAAAAAGCATACGACCGAACGTGGCGTCATGGTATTCTGCGAGATCTTCTAGATTATGATATAACAGGGAATTTATTTTATTTTATTCAAAATTTTTTAGCAGAAAGAACCTTTCAAGTGTTTTTAAATCCTATATTTTCAGACATTTACACTCAAGAAGAGGGTGTTCCTCAGGGTAGTGTTCTTAGCGTCACTTTATTTCTAATCAAAATAAATAAAATTTTATCCCTTTTACCCCCTCTGTTGACGGTAGACTCTTTGTCGATGATTTTCGGATTTCGTGCAAAGCTACCCATATGCACACAATAGAAAGACAACTTCAATATGCAATTAATAAAATATTACAGTGGGCAGACAGTAATGGTTTTACTTTTTTACCTAACAAAACTTCTTGCATTCACTTTTGTCGTAAACGAGGTCTTCAGCCTGATCCAGAATTATTTCTCAATAGTTATAGTATACCAGTTATACCTGAAGTAAAATTTCTGGGCATAATTTTTTACTCAAAATTAACTTTTAAATCTCACATTAACTATCTGCGACAAAATTGTGAAAAGAAATTAAACATACTCAAGGTTTTAACGAACTGCTCTTGGGGAGCAGATACCAAATCTATGATTAAAATTTATCGCAGTATCATTCGCTCTAAAATTGACTATGGATCTATTATATATGGATCTGCTAGAAAATCTGTTTTAAGATACCTAGACACAGTACACCACGAAGGAATTCGTATTGCTACAGGGTCTTTTCGTACCTCTCCAATTCAAAGTTTGCTAGCTTTATATCATGAACCATCCCTCATTATACGCCGAGCAAAACTTGCCCTAAATTATTATTTTCATATCAAGAGTCACCCTAATCATCCCATGTTTCCTAAGATTTTAACGCCAGACTACGAAACTCTTTTTAACCATAGACCATCCTGCGTTCCAACTTTTGGACTTAGGATGAAAAAACTTTTATCAGATTTTACCATNAAAACGACTCTTACACGAGCTTCTCAATTTCTTTCCTTTTTTTTAAATATTATTTCTTTTATATTGACATCAATTGAAATACTAATTTTGTACCGTACCACTTTTTTCTGATAATTATAAAATTACAAATCCTGTTTGTTGCGTTACTTCTTAACAATTTTGAAATTAATTATACAATAATATTTAAATCCCTTTTATTTTTTCACTGGCCACAATTTTCACTCAAATTATATTTGTGCAAAAATTAAAATTATACAAAAATACAAAGATTGAAATGTATTCGAACATAAGGTTAGAGCATATTAAGAAAAACTTGTTTAAATTACGCCAAATATATTTTTCCTAGATTGCACCTGGGAAATGAAAATTTGTGCAACTTTTTTACTGTCAATAACGTCTAAAATGTTTTTATGGACATAACACAATGCTACATGGTTTAACCTCTTTTGGGTCATTGTTGATCTTAAATACATTTTTAATTTTCTTAAAGCACTGAAGCTTCTTTCGGCTTCACAAGACGAAGCAGGGCAAACTAAAAGGAGTCTTACCAAATTTTCAACACTTTTAAATAAACATCTAACTTCTTTGATTGTTGAAGAGAGTGCTTTTCTCGCATCATCTAAGCAATTGACTTTAAAGTTTTTATGGAAAAGTTGGAGCTCAATTTTTAAGGCATCTACGTCAATTTCTGGATAACAATTTAAACTTTCCGATTTTTCGAACTTAAGCAGAACATTTTCCAACAAAATTTGTTTTTTTACACCTGGTTGATCTAAAATACGACTTTTTAACCCACTTATCGCTGTATCAACCATGTGATAAAATTGCTGGCGATAATATTCTTCGCACGAATTATATCCGTGTGAAGGAGCAGGTCCACTATATCTCTTAGGTGGTTTTTTTTGCCTTGGAAGTGATAATTCTTCCAGATCATTTTGTTGAATTGCTGCTGAACATTCCTCAAAAACTTTTGAAAAATTTTCTTCAGATCTCAGATCCGACAATCCTTGAATCATGACTTCAATAGATTTACATAAACCCGACAAAGTGTTTTTTTTACCTTGAAATAATTTATTGATTGTCTCCAGCATTTCGATTATTTTTTTCCCCATTATCAGTCCTAAATATGTCGTTCCATTTAGGAAAGTGTTCAGTAGGCCACTTGCCCCATCATAATTTTTCGATGTCAGCTCTTCCAAGGTTTTCAAAATTATGTCATACTTTTTAAGAGCTTCGTTGATTTGAGAATGCCTGTAAATCCATCGCGTAGGGCACAATGGCTTTATTCTCCCGGCATTGATTACAGGACATTGCGCCAAATCTTCTTGAATATATGTAAAGATAGATTTTACCTTAGCATTTGAGAATAAATTTCCCAACTGATGTAAGTAATCCAAGGAGTTTCTCACTTCTTTGGAAGAATCACAAACATTTTTCATAATTAGATTGCAACAATGGGCACCGCAGTGAATATAATCAGCAAGAGGTTGTTTTGCGATTAAGATGCTTTGGACACCTTTTTTATTTCCGTTCATATTTGCTGCTCCGTCATAGGTTTGCCCTCTCAATCCTTCTAAGGGAAGTTGAAGTCTCAATAGGACATCCGTTATTAGTGATGCAATGTCTTCTCCAGTTGTAAAACCGTGTGTTTGGCGCAGTATGTCCATTTTTGGACCTTGTGCCACTAAACCCCACATTCAATCAATCAATCAGTCTTCTCCAGTTGTTGCCGGGGTCTTATAAAATCCTATAAATGTTTCTTGTGGCTCAAAATTGTCATCTATCCACCTTATGCAAATGCTTTCTTGCTCAACCCCTGAAATATCTCTCGTTCCATCACAAATTACGGAAAAAAGGACAAATTACGGAAATTGACTTCATTTTCCCGATGAGAGTAAGACTTATTTCCCTGCCAAATATTTCAAGGATTTCGTTTTGAATATCCGGATGGGTGTAATTTTTTTCTCTTTTTAACCATTGTTTTAGATTTTGCCTATCTTCACTGCGAAGTCTCAAGAGTTCCATTAAAGTTTCCTTCCTACCACACTTAACGATTTCTTTCTGCTTATTAGAAGCATTTCTCAAGAGATGATTTGTGCACGCAATTTTTTTGACGGTGATAGTATCATATGGCCGAGAATCTAAAATCTTATAGAAGTTGCTGTCCCCGTCTCCAATGAATTTTGAATAAATTAATCCTTCATTTGAATGTTATTATTAAACCCTTCAACTAAAATGTCCGATTCCATGGCTGAAGAGCTCCCAGACCAATTTTTATAACAAATATGTTTCACAGGTGATACTTGCTTGGTAGTTGCTCGAGAGCATATGCCGCAATATTTGGTTCTCACTCCAAGAAAAGAACTTTTCCTGCAGCTTGTCCAACAATAGAGGCCTATAATATAATGAAAAATAAAAAATAATTCAAAAAACACAACTTTTAATAAACGTTAGTAATTTTTATATACTAATTAAAACGTTTTAAAAATCAACGGAATTCAGGGCCTGATCATTGGCTAGGCCCAATACGCATGGGCTTAGGGCACACATTGACTGCGGGACTTCAAAAATTAGTAAAAAGTCCTCAATATTACTATTTTTTTTAAATATTGAAAAAAACAGTTTTTCTTAAAAAAATTTCTTTTTTTTAATTCTTTAGAGCTTGATTACCCAAATCTTTCCCATCTAATGAATTATTATACAATTTTCTAACTGCGCCCTCCATTTTTAATTTAGTTATAATTACTAATTGCTCCTTTTCCCAATCTGCTAATTTAGCAGTAGTTTCAAGAGCCTGAAAATACTCATCATAATTATCACAAGTTCGATTGGGGACAATTGACAATAGAAATGGGGATTTTAATCATTCTGCCATACTTAATTGCTTATGTTTTCTATAAAATAATATACAAATAACAGTATCTATAAATACTACCACATAACCAAATATTAATTAAAAGTGTCTGCCGATCCTGGTCACGGCACCAGAAATATATGTGGTGATGTTCAGATGAAAGGAATAACTTTTTTCTTCTTTCTTTTTGCAGAAGTATGAATCGCGAAGGGTCGTGGCATCCAAATATATGCATAGGTAAAATGTCTTCTTTTAACGCACAGATTTTATTGCTTTCGGGTACATTTTGTTCGTTTTTTCTAAATCGAACGGCCATGGTAACTGCTGCCCGAAATCCAAGTATTCTATCGTCGAGCAACTTCCTTAGTGTGTGGTGCCCGTATTTACCACACTTAACGACTTCTTTCAGCTTATTAGAAGCATTTCTCAAGAGATGATTTGTGCACTCAATTTTTTCGGCGGTGACAGTGTGATATGGCCGAGAATCTAAAATCTTCTTATAGAAATTTCTGTCCCCGTCTCCAATGAATTTTGAATAAATTATTCCATGCATTTGAATGCTATTATTAAACCCTTCAACTAAAATGTCCGATTCCATGGCTGAAGAGTTCCCAGACCAATTTTTATAACAAATATATTTCACATGTGATACTTGCTTGGTAGTTGCACGAGAGCATATGCAGCAACATTTGGTTCTCACTCCAAGAAAAAGAACTTTTCTTGCAGCTTGTCCAACAATTGAAGCCTATAATATACAATGAAAAATAAAAAATAATTAAAAAAAAACACAACTTTTAAGAAACATTAGTAATTTTTATATACTAATTAAAGCGTTCTAAAAATCATCGGAATTCAGGGCCTGATCATCGGCTAGGCCCAATACGTATGGGCCTAGGGCTCACAATTTCTGCGGGGCTTCAAAAATTAGTAAAAAGTCCTCAATATTACTATTTCTTTTAAATATTGAAAATAACAGTTTTTCTACAAAAAATGTCTTATTTTTAAATTTCAAATTTCTTTACATTGTGGTACGACCAAACTCAGGTACACATTGCACTAATAAAATTCGAAAGTAAGGTGGGCTAGATTTGTGTTCGTTTAGCTTATCAATAATTACAGATTAATGACATAGCAAAAATCCATGACAGTTCTTGCTTGTGGACACCAATTGTCTTTACCTATTTTTTATTTGTGCATAACTTTCTTTCTTTTTTTATATTCTGCTTTTTTATATATTTAGTAATACTATTTAAGATCAAATTTTAAAGCAGTAATGTGCATCAGATATTACTACAGAACACGATTTTGAAATTCTCATATCTAAATAAATTATTATTCAAATGTGTTTTTCATTTTCCATCAGTAGATACAATTTTAGCTCTTTTGGATATTTAGCTCTTTTGGATTGGTGTTGAAATGTATTTTTCTATATAAATTATAATTAGTAGAGGAAAAGGTGTAGATATGGGCACCCTCTTTTGTTTTATTGATAAACTCTTTTGTTACTTTCAATTTGAAAAATTGTAGATTTTTGTCTTTCATTAACAACTATTACAAGTTTCCTAAATGCGAGAAGGCAAAACAATGATTAACATCAATTATTTCAAAAATCTTTTAAAAAGCACCAGAAAAAATGGGGTGTAAATATGGGCCCTCTTCAAAAATAGTAGTTTAAAAACAGGATAAAATAATACAAAATGGTAGAGAATTTATTTATTACAGTAAAAATAATTATTTACAGAAATCGCAAACATAACTGGCTCTTTCAGCCCCGGCACAATCTAAGTGTGCTCACATTTGGCACATAACACATCTCACCCACACTTTTCCCCGAGTGTCTTCAGAGAACTTTCCATCACAAAAAATGCAAGTTGCATCGCTTGAGTCTGGTTTATCCCCACCGTTGACATCTAGATAGGTATCATCATCACTGTCCATAAGGGAAGGGTCATCGTAGTCTGATGAGTCCAATGATGAATCGTATCGTTGCGTGGGTCGAAATTTCTTTTTTTGAAGGCCTTTCGTCCCACCCCTGCCCCCTGGCCGGTCTCTTACACCGGGAAAACTCAAGGACGTCTTCTTGAGAGCACTTCTGTCAAGCGACTTGGTCAACTGATCCTTGTATGGTGATCCGGTGATGAGGCTGGACCTTACTGATTTGCGTCCACGAGTAGTGGTTCTCTTCTAAAGGTTGGGAACAGGAGATATGTCGAAATTGCACTTGAAGTTCCCGGGGAACATTGCGGTATTTCAACTGCCTTATCAATTGACATAACTAGAACCTTATGTGCTTGTATATCAGGATATCTCGAAGGAGAGGCAAATGATGTTGATGGTCCAGAGATAACAAGTAGAGGAACACGTGATTCTGAAACATTGGAGTCCTCATAATATATTTAGTGATTAGAAGAAAATAATCTACACTTTGAAACCTCTAAATTGGTGACCGGACTATAAATAAAAAAATCTTCTGATCCAGAACAATGGGTGACGCTGTCGCTGTAGTCATCCCTCCCTTCATCCGAGCTGACCCCGCCCTTTGGTTCTTTATGCCAGAATCGACGTTTGCGTTAGCAGCTCCAAAGGCAATCATAGAAGCGAAGACCAAATATAATTATGTCGTCGCTCATTTGCCACCGGATACGGCGACGATCGTGAGAGATGTGATCATGCAACCGGATGTCACTGATACTTACATGGACTTGAAATCCAAAATCATCGAACGCTGTCGAGAATCTAAAACAGAGGAGATCCGACGTCTATTGGCTGGAGAAAATCTTGGGGATAGAAAACCAAGTGAGCTCTTGCGGGATATGAAACGCAGAACGGAAAATCACAAAATTGAAGACGAATTGCTTTTCGAATTATTTATCCAAGCGATGCCTCTCCCCGTCCAAACAATCATTGCTTCTATTTCCCCCATGTCAACGGAAAAAGCTGCCGAAGTTGCTGACAGAATATTAGCGATCTCGAATCCTCTGCACTTCCTTCAGTCCATTCACCCCAGAGTTCAACAACCCCACGGGATTCTCAACACCAATTTCATCCACTCTCTCCTTCCTCATCGGGAGTGGAGGAAATTTCTCTCTCCCAGCTGTACAAGGAAGTAAAATCATTACGGAAGGAGGTGAACTTTCTTCGAAGCAGGTTTCGGTTTCGAAATGATACTCGAAAATCTTCGCGCCCTCGCTCCTCCTCCACTGCTTCTGGAAATAGTGCTACGAAGTTGTGCTTTTACCATCGTAAATTCCAGGAAAACGCACATAAATGCGTGCCCTCTTGTGATTTTTCAAAAAATCACAAGTGGTCAGGGAATAGCGGCGAGTAATTCCTTGCCTTCCAATCAATCTCGCCGTTTGTTTATCATGGACAAAAATTCGGGTCAATCATTTTTGATTGATTCCGGTAGTGATGCATCTCTAATAATGGCAACCAAAAAAGAAAAACAAAATCCTGAAATTCAAACGTTTCGTGCTGCTGTACTGTATAGATTTGTCATTTAAGAATAAACCATCGCGTTGTGTTCCTCCTTTGCCCTATTTCAACTAAACTAACTAGTGACCTCAGTTCCAGCATGGGATACCTTACCTGTTTATCTGTAAAGTAAAAAATAGAACTACCAAAAAAGGTTAAACGATGACGGTTAAAACATGGGCAATAAATTAAAATGTGATGGATTGTGAGTAAAACGTTGCAAGTATTGCAGTGAGGAGAGGGTTCATCAAACAGCAAGTGAAGGTGGGTCAATCGAGTGTGGCCAATTCGAAGACGAGTAAGTTTGACGTCTGCCCTACGATTACGTAGCACAGGCAATGGATCGAAATCAATTTTTATAGCGCGCAATTTATTATTAATTTGAAGATCCCACTGCTGCAACCATAGAGACTTTGTAAGCTGTCGTACGTGTGTTTTTATATCTTGGTATGGTATAGACAGAGAGAAAGGGTTTGTAGCAGATCGTGCGGCAACATCGGCCACGTCATTGCCCGGAATTCCGACATGACTTGGGACCCAACAAAATAAAATATCAAACCCATTTTTATGAAAAGAATTTAACAGATGATGTATAAAATTTAAAATTGGGTGAGTCGATTCTTCNATTCGATTGGATGAATGCATTGCGCAGCATGTCCTTCTGTGGACTTTGTGCCATTAAACCCAACATTCAATTCCAATTCCAATGTAAAGTAAAAAATAACACTATCATCATACCATACGAAAATAAATACAGTTTGAGGTAGTAAACAAATAAAAGGTTTATTAAGTTTAAAAGAAAACAGTCCTTAAGGGACCGTATAAAAACCATTAGCACTCTAATTTCACAATACATGCACACGTGGTCCCCTCTGATCGGACCTCCACAAATACTGGCTTACCAATTTCATCATGAGAGAAAAGATATACAGTTAATATACTTTCATGACTATATACATAGCTACACTTATTCATCCAGAATGAAAATATTTAGCACTCTTGATTTCACAATACAGCAACATATGGCACCCACTGATCTGACATCAAACACTGACTTATCAATTCAAAATGAGAGAAAGGATATACAGTTACCATATATGCCTTGCTATATATTTAGCCACACTTATTCAGATGGAGATCGAACAACACGTGCTATGGATATCCACCACGTGTAGAAGCTAGCAATGGTTACCATTATTCAGGGTCCTTTGAGGTGAAAAGCACCGAAATTCATTTTCACAAAACATACTCTATTCGTAGAAATTCCCTACTTCACGGGAAAGCTATTAATTTATTACCTCTGTATATAACTCCCACACATCATATGATATTAGCCATCACACCATCTATTTTTTGTTGTCACCAACTTTTCTCATTTTTCCGTGCCGACTGACTCTTACTTCATCTAAGGAAGCTTATTCCCTCGGGTTTCCACCACAAATAGTAAATATGTATAATTTAAATTTGCAATCAAAAAGTGAAATGTATGAAATTAAAGGTTTACATAATGCTTATTCTTAGTTACAATTATAATATTGAACAATAAAATTAATTATTACATTTATATAAAAATATTAAAAGTTTAGAAAAAAGGTTTATTTTCACTGTCATTAGTATAAATTAAGTCTCATGCTGCCACCTATTGGCACAAAGATTAGTAAATAAAAAGAAACTGTAAAGGAACTTTATCAGTACAAATACCCCCGTCCCTCAAAGAAATTTGTATGTTTTTAACCAAAAGGAAATTTACGAAAAAGAGCAACAAAAAAAAATTTATAATAATAAGCTTTATAAAACTACATCATAATTAAATTCACCTAAAAAAAATTATAGCCAAGGTAAAACTTATTTCACTTCACAAGAAGCACCACAAAGAAATTTTAATTTCAAACTCCTCTGAATGCAATCAAAATTCAGCTCAGCCGTGAATACGGTAATCACCTTAACTTGGCGCCGAGATAAGTAGAAAACCATACTAAAAAATTTTTTCATGTTCTTAATTTTTAAATTTATCAAACTCTAATTCATAAACTTAAATAACATTTAAAAAAATCTACCATTAAATTTTAACATGAGTTAAACAATTTGAATCTTCAAAAATCAACCCCCAAATTAAATTACATTATAACCATAAGTGTCAAGGTACTGGTACCAGTCAGGACAAAAATTAGCACCAAACATATATAATAAATACCATCACAATTAACAATACAAATCACATAAAAATATTCCTGAGTATAATATGCGCTAAACAACAACATCTGACATTATCACATTATAATCACATTTGAACCACAAGATCGGATTTTAACATCACTGTGACATTCTCATCATTCATATCACATGAAATAGATACACAAAAATAACAAATTCTTGAATCATAATACTATAATTTGCATAAAATGATTTATATCGGAGTAATCTTGACATCATAAGTCCATGAAACCTATTGCCTTAACGGATAAGAAAATTTTCTGTTTTCATGATACAAGTCATTTCAATAAGCATAATACTTAAATTTGCAATATCAAATATCTCCTTAATTTATTTTGAAACAGCCAAAAAATTATGGAACATGAAAATAAACAATTATTTTCAAGAGCATACATACATTTTCATAAAACACTTAATTATGTCTAACTCTACCATTTTGTCGAGGTCTTAAATTGTATCTCCCCCTAGTAGGTAAAAGTTGCATTTCCCCAAATTATTCGTTGTTCACTACATTGTCTCCCAAATTGTTAGGATTGTAAGGGTAAGAAGAAATATCTTCACTTTGTGTAGGAACGGGTTGCAAAATCTCATTATTCTCATCGTCGGTGTTAAGACAATCCAGCCTTTTTTCCATACGACTGATGTCTTCGATGTGCACTAACCTGTTATTATTAGGTTGATTAATATGTTGGATTCGCACAACCACAGGGTAGATGACCTCCACCACCTTATAAGGGCCAGAATTAGGTTTATTAAATTTCTTGCATAATCCTGGTGTAACACGTGGATTAAACCAATAAACTACATCGTCAATTTTAAAAGACACTTATATACTACTATTATTTCTACGATTTATATTATCATCTGCCGCCTTATTTAAATTTTCCTTAACCTCTTTATAAACTTTATGAAAGTTTTTTAGCAAAATGTTAGCAAAATCAAGTTTATCAGAATAAGAAAAGGGTGGTGGACTATCCAAAAATTTTCTAGGTAAGTTTAATTCTCTACCATACACAAGGTAAGCAGGAGAAAATTTAGTTGAGTCATGACATGCAGTGCGTAACACCAACAAAGCATAAGGCAATTGGTGATCCCAATCATTATGCCTCTCATTAACCAGTTGACTTAAAACATTTCCCAGGGACTTGTGTTGATATGAATCGTTGTCTTGGATCGTTGTCTTGATCGTTGTCTTGAATTGTTGTCTTGAATCGTTTGCCTACGCGAATTTGCGACGAAGAGATTGAAATCTCTGACTTAGTCTCCATCAGAGACTTTACTGAGTCTTGTATGTATCTCAATGTTGTGGCATTAGCAAGAGACTTTGAACTAGAACTTGTTGATAATCACAAGTTGTTCCCAGATCAAGAACCATTAATTGACTTTTTAAGTGAGAACTATTTAAAAAATATTCGATTGGATGAATGCATTGCTGCTGCAAGGAAGGATTTTTTTAGTTATGATTTTTAATTATTTAAATATATTTGTTTGAATAAATGTAATTAGTTTGTTAAACATTTTTGTTTTTTTCTTTCTATGTGTTTACTGACTTTGCATTTTTCAGAGGATTGTGAAATTTTCTTTTTTAGCAGACATGAATTTTCTTTTTCAGAATATTTTTTTTTCAGGTTTTTAATATAAAATTCTCGCTTCAATTTAAAAACAAAATATCTATACTACAATGGAATTGCAAATACATTTAACAATGCAATGCATGATAAGGATAAGATTCAATACACAAGGTTTCAAATTTAATTAAATTAGAAAAAAAAACGACATTAAAAATATTGTATTTGACTGAAAATAGCAAACAAAATATCTATACTGCAATGGAACCGCAAATACATTTAATAATGCAATACATGATAAGGATAAGATTCAATACACAAGGTTTCATATTTAATTAAAGTAAAAAAAAATTATTTAACTGAAACTAGCAAAACAAAATATATATATTGAATGGAACCTCGCTCGTAACGTACAAGCATATACAAATACCATTATTCTCAATTCTTTCTACTTCAAAATATCATCTACTTTTTTAGTGTCGAAATAAAATATTAAAAAGCAACATAAATTTGTAGATGTATTAACATAACCTCAATGTTGTAAAAACAATTTTTTTAAGAAAAATATATATATAATTTAATAGTATTTAATATAAAGAAACTGATCAGTCTATAAGCAATTAATGTTAACAGTGTTTTTTTAACTCAAAAAGCATAAAAAATTCACAACAAAAAATTTAAAAAGCTTAAACTTATTTTTAAAATTATAGATTAGATGGATAAGAAATACGATATTAATATTATAAAAATAATACCACGAAGTACCGTTTGGACGAATTATGCTTGTATTAAAAAATTGTGAACTTTAGAAATTTAGTTTTTTTTTAATTAATGTATCGAAAATTTAGATTAAA